CTTGAACTAAGCTGTAGCTTTTATTCAAGTGATGCTGTAGACATTTTGCCAGGAGCTTATTTCTATGTAAAACGGTTTTGATGAAAAAGTCGATTTTTCAAAAATGAGGGTGTAAGAAAAACGAAAATTGAGATGCCTTGCTGGTAGACAAAAACTAACTCAAATAGTAAATTTTATAGGACAGATTTTGCTTGACAAGCTGATATATTAATAAACGTTTCAAATTTTAGTTTCGGATCCCAATAGTGAAAATATGAAAATGTATGGAAAAAATTTCCGTCCAAACTAATTTTTTAGACCTGTCAAAGATTTCCTCACTACTCTGGAGTAAAATTAGACAATAGATTTCTGAGCCCATATTCGGAAAGAGCATCAAATTCTGGTCCTAACCCATAGCTTTTGACTCGTCTGAAATACATTCAAGCAGGTCAAAAATGAATAAACATTTTGTCCGGAAACTTTCGACTCACCCGTTAAAATATAGAACTCGAACTTCTTTTTCCCAAAGAAATCAAGTAATTTCTCAGTTGATATTCTGAAATGAAACATTTTTGATCACGTACAACATATCAATTTTTATGTGTCTTTATTCGATAATCACACTCATCAACATTCTTGGTCCTCACTGTCCTTTCGCATCCTTTTTCTGATTTTTGGGCTGTTCTTTCAAATTTTTGTCCACCTTCACCTTTTCTCTAGTTTCGCGAGTCAGTTTTTCGTAGCGTTCTCAAAATTTTCCCTGTCTTTGCTAGCCTTTTCCAATTATTCCCAATGTTCAAAATATGTCATTGTGGTTGTTATTATTGTAGACAAAAACAGCAAGCTGTACGTTCAACAGCAACTGCAGCAACAACAACAACAACAACAACAGCAGCAACAACAACAACAACCATCATCATATTTATGGTGTATAACACACTATGGTCCAAACAATCAATTGCGTGATTTTATTAAATGTACAGTAATAGCAAAACAAACAAATTCTATTTTAGTATTACCACCATTATTTCCTCATTATACAGATAACATGAAAGCGCTGCAAGAATGGCAACAATATTATGATATAAAAGTTTTACAAAATTTTACACAAACAATAACACTTTCAAATTTTTTACATTCATTACCTATTTCAAACAAAACAAGTCTAATTGACTGTTATATTAAAATACAATTCGGTTATGGTAATACAGAAATGTATTATTTCAATCGCATAATTCAAACTTCTGGTAAACATTATGGTTTTAAATTAGATTTTAAACAACAAATATTAAATATCCAAAGATATAATTTAAGAGTAGAATGGTATAAACGTAAATGTCAACATGTATTTCTCCATTTTCATTATGCCGATTTTTCTAAATTACAATATCCTATAAGTCCTTGGAAATATTTAAAACGTACATCATTTATTCAATTAATAGCTAAAAATCTTTCATTACCTATGATTAATAACACAGGTAAATTATTAGTAGCACATCTCAGACGTGGAGATTTCACTCGTATTCCATTGGAAACCTATATAAAGCAACTTCAATTTATAGTTGATAAATTAAAAACTATAAAACATATTCATATTATGACTTTCATTAGTAATAGTACGGAATTGAATTATATATTAAAATCGTTTCCGAAAATATCTATAACATGTACAGAAGATATTCGAAAATATGCTCCCAAACATTTGAATACTTATAGTTTTGGTATTGTCGAACAAGAAATAGCAACACAAGCTAATATGTTTATAGGAACATCTTATTCTACATTTAGTCAAACAATTATTTTTATGCGACGATTTCAATCTTTAGGTCCTACTTATCAATTTTCATTGAAAGGTAATCAACCAACTCTTGTTCGAAATCGTAATTCATTATTTAATATATGAATATAATCACCAACAGCAGATCTCTGATGACTGAAGGTAGTGTAAAGTGTAACGTAAGGTATCAGAATCCCAAAGTTCAAGCAAGATTTTTTTTCGTTTATTTATACATGGTTAGAATGATTTCGAAACTATGGGTGCTCAAGGACAAGAACGCAAAAAAAAACCGCGATTTTCAAAATCGCGGTTTATTTCATTGGATAGCCATTATTATAGTAGCAAAAGTACTGAAAAGCGATCGTTCTGCTTTAAGGCTCTTTTTGTAAGAATAATATTTCGACATAAAACGTTAATGTAAAGAAATACGTGTATTTTGAAACGAAACTTGAAATTCTGTATAATCTGACATATAGTTCCACGGAAATATCTATAGAGTTGCATAAAAATAGAGAGCACTTTTACTTTATGCAAGTCTACAGAATTCATGTCTTTCTAACGCCGTTCACAAAAATTTTCAAGATTACAAATAATGTCTCAACTTTCTACATAGTTTTTAGAAAACGACTTCTCATCACATTCGGATCGGTCCGAATAACATGTTTTTTCTTCTTTCTTTCAATTGCGTGCTAATTGAGCGGACTGTGATCGAAATCAGTAATATGCTTAAATTGTGTGAAAATTTTAATTTCTAACTATATTCAGTCAAAATCGGAATTCCAGTTTTAGATTTAAATTTTGTCTAGTCACAAGTAAAATTGCAGTACTGGCCAGATAAATTTAAAATCTGCCTGGAAATCAGACGAAACTTAAATGGGCTTTAGCCTAGAAAAACTACGGGCAAAACTTCAATTTGAGGTTTACCTACAACATGCACATCTCTATATATCGACGGTTAACTATGAGAGCATAAAACCTGTGGGAACTGTTTGTCTCCGCACACTCCACGTTTACAATTTCACTTTATAAATTCAAATTTGTGGGTGCCAAAGCATCCACGGCTTTCATGGTTTCGCCGTCTCTGGTTAGATAGAGCACGTCGAGCTGAGTAAGAAAACTTTTAATTTTTTAAAAATTCTTTTAAGTGCAATTGGAAAAGCTTGCAAGTTCTAACTTACTTACTATTGGAGCCAAAATACAAGAGAAGGACGCTAGTATTTTTCATCTCGTAACGAGTTTAAAGACTGCCACCCGTGAGCAACTCTGCCGTTAGGTTTGGCACTGTCAGAAATGAATGAAAACATAGATTCTCTATTATGTTGAATCTCCTGGCAATGTTAGTCTTCAGAACAAAATGCATCAACTGACAATGGAACGGTCGCTACTGATGAGCGAATCGGACGACCGTGTGGAGTGCAAATGATCACACTTATTGAGAAACTAACAAATTTAAAATATGAGCTGCTGATGGCTTACTTTGACAGAGAAAATCAACTTTTAAGTTCTGT